CTTGCCTGGAGATCAAACCACTAGTTAACCATAGAGGCTAGGCTGTGGTGGCACACACCTTTAATCCCAGCACTTGGGAAGAGGGAACAGGAAGATCAGGAATTCAAGGCCACCCTGGGCTACACCAGATTGAATCGGTCTAAAAGAGAAACAGGGCTGGGAGGTGGTGGCTCACAACTTTGATCTCGGCACTTGGAATCTCATGTCTTTGATCCCAGTACTTGGGAGGTGGAGACAGGAAAATAAGGCTGACAGAGACAGGATCTCGACCCCCATTCAGTCTAAGGATTCATAGAGATAGGATCCCTGCCCCCATTTTCATCTGAGATTTCGGAGAGGTTAGAAGTCTCTAGTGGCTGGCTGCTCTGCTTCTCTGATCTTTCAGCTTTCACCATGATAACTGATTCTGGGTTTTTATTGTTAAGACTAATTAGATTCATGCTTCAGTGTGGGAGTTACCAATTTATGTCTGATTTGACTTAAGGCCCACTCCATGAGATGGAACCCATACCCAACATTGCTTGGGTAACTAGGAACCAGAGACTACATAGCTAGAGACCTAGGGTAAAACCAAATACTACTGGTCTAAAAATAAATTAGGAGCAATACCTTTTAAATTGATTGGTAATTAAATAAAGGAATCATTGCCAACTATACCATAAAATAGAAAGGTAAAAGAAAGAAAAGAAAGTGACATAAAGTGAATATATATAGTATACATACTGTACATATATATATACATATATACATATATAAAGTATATATTCTCATAAAATGTTCTCTATGAAATTTATTTGGGAAAATATAATGGTGAAAAATATATTGTGTATGATACACATGTATACAAATAACAAGTACCATCTTGTATCTATGCATACACACAAAATAACATATAACAACATATTGCAACAATATATTATGTATAGAATAGCACTGTGTAAGAAGAACATAAAGTATTCATAATCATTTCCTGAGAAAGAGCTTTGAAGGAGAAGTGGGAAAGAAGATGTTTCCCACTTTGCCCTCCACCCATCTTTATCATTTGTAGTTTTTAAAGGAGAGATTTGTGCTATTTCCTTGTGCAATTGAAACAAAATGAAAATCCTTTCCCGCCAGATGAACAGATGGAAATTGGAATGGGTCAAGACCAATAGGTAGGGTCTAGTAATCAACATAAAACCTCAGTGTTTCTCTTGCCAACCATATTTCTAGAGAGTAGACGCCAGGATTTGGGAAAAATTAGAACCTCAAACAAAGGATTAAGTTAAAAATTTACATGATCCTGATGGCCAAATCAGGATTAGCATCCCATGAGAGACCAGATAGGAGCAAAGAGGAGCTGAATCCAGCTTTCTTAGTGGAATGTTAGCCCCCAGCAAAGAAACTTTTTCTTGTCCTTACAGTTCTTTCTTAAATGAGCAGATGATCAGCTTCCAGCAGGACCTTTTCACCAGTCACTAACATGTTAAAAACACCAGCTTAGGAGGAGTTCAAAATAAAATTCCATTGGACTATGATAATTTATCATGATACAAAGTCTTAAAGGAATAAAATGGTTTCATCCTCCCTTGAAAAGTGGTAATAGAACAACCTCCCTGAAAGAACTAAAGTTGAAGCTCATATTGTGAGGAAGTTATTTAGATCTGACTTTTTTGATCCACAAATCCTCTAATTTATCAATTGATCGATGGTAGCACAATCCAATCAAAGGTACCTTGGACCTGCCTCAACTGAATCTATCAGGCTGGGCTGACTCCACAGGGGAGACCTTGCCTTGGAGGAGGTGGAAATGGGGGGCGGGTAGATTGGGGGAGAAGGCTGGGGGGTGGGAGGAGGGAGGGCAGGGGAATCCGTGGCTGATATGTAAAATTAAATTAGTTATAAAATAAAAATATTTATAAAAAAGAAAACAATACAATGTTTCATTTTCCCTGGAGTTATAGTTTAACTACAGTTCTCTAAAAATTCCAAAAGAGTTTTGCAACAATAAAGCTGAGGCTTACCCCAGTAACAGAAAACCCTGCTGTTTGCTGTAGACATAAGGAGTAAGCTTTTCATACATTCATCAAAGTGAAATGCATTCCAACCAATGTTGAGTGACAGCATGACAAGCTTTATAATGATGAAACAGTTTAGAGACCAAAGTGAAAATTGAAGGACAAAACTGCTTTGGAAAAGGGCCAGGTAGTCTTAATATTGATCACAGCTGTATGCGATCAATCCTGATTCAAAATACATGTTTTTAAACTTGTCTTTAAGGTTATAAAACCTTTCATGGAGCTCCATAATGATGAAATATTTGATATTTGTTTCACTTTTGTCTTGTTCAGATTTATTCACTTAACTATAATTTATTGAGGACCTTGTACATGTATAGCACAATCCAAGAAAAATACAGTCCCTAACATCAAAAATACTAACACTGACTTAAGAGTTACACTACTTACATATTATCTTCTACCACAAGTTTAAAATATTAATATGTACTAGATCCTTGGAACAATAAGAAGGAATTTAACAAATAACCATTAACTTCAAGTCAAAATAAAGACAAAATACAGAAACACAGTGCAGAGTGTTCAATAATTGAAGTCAGAACAAAGTGTTCAAAGACCTCAAAAAGTAAGACAACTAAACCCAGGAGGGCATCCTAAAAGGTCTTATTCTGAGTTTCTTTGTTACTTTATATCCACCGCAACAGTTCTTCACTTGGAGCTAGAAACATGTAGACACAGAATAAGCCCTACGGTAGGTCAGGGTTTGGAAGATACTGACAATACAGGTTTAAAAAAAATACCAACATCTCAAGGCAGGGAATTAATGATGACAATGTTCTAAGGAAGAGCATTTGGAGTTTACAGAAGGAAACACCCACGTCTACATGAGTCACTCCAAAAGATCTGAAGGCTGACAAACACCCCTCCATCAGATTGTAACCAAGGACAGGAAACTTCAGGAGAATGTGGAGTTGTAGTGTCCGGAAACTGTATGATGCTAAAGGTCGAAAGTTAATACAGCCTGGGTGTGACATTAATAAACAAGAAGAGAAAGAAGTGAAGCAGGCTGGCCAACTGGAGGAGGACTTTGTGTAAAAGGTTAAGAATTTCAGAGTTGAAGCCGGGCGGTGGTGGCGCACGCCTTTAATCCCAGCACTCGGGAGGCAGAGCCAGGCGGATCTCTGTGAGTTCGAGGCCAGCCTGGGCTACCAAGTGAGCTCCAGGAAAGGCGCAAAGCTACACAGAGAAACCCTGTCTCGAAAAACCAAAAAAAAAAAAAAAAAGAATTTCAGAGTTGATAATTAAATGGAGGATAGAAATGAGAGACTGAAGATTTTCATTCATCAATTTGTTTGTTTTCTTGCAAACTACTTTGTTAGCAGAATGGAAGGAAATTCTTCTGCAGTAAGAAGACATGGTAAGCAATGTTTGTAGTATTTTAGAGTTAAAAAGATGGGGGTTCCTTTGGTTTTGTTGTTGTTTTGTTTTGTTTTTACACTGCACCTCACTATGTGTCCCTGGATTGGCTAGAATTCACTCTGTAGACAAGACGGACCTTGAATGAATGATCCACCTGCCTCTGCCTCCTAAGTGCTGGGATTTTAAAGTATGCACTACCACGCCCAACAAAGACAAGATTTTTAAAGTTAGAACAAGGACAGCTGAGATGAAGAGGCAAGATGATGAACAGAGTATGGTGATAAAATAAACAAGAACTGGTAGATGAGTGGTAATGTTAAGGGGAAAGAGGATTTATATGATAGGTAAAAAGAAAAGTAAGTTAGAAGAATTAGGATGACTAGGGTACGGCTAAGAAGTTGAAGATGAATTTCTAAGTTTCCAAATAGTTTCACCTATAACACAGATACATTCTTCTCACACAGAACAAAAGTTATCTCAATCTCAGAGACTATTTCCACTTATTATCCACTTATCTCTTCATAACCAAGTATCTTTAAATTTATCGTGTGTGTGTGTGTGTGTGTGTGTGTGTTTGTGTGTGTGTGTGTGTGTGTGTGTGTGTGTGTGTGTGTGTGTGTGTATTTGCCTGTGCATAGGCACATGTACCACATGTGTGTCTGGTATCTGCAGAGGTCAGAAGAGGGCATTAGTCCTCTGAAACTGGAGCTATGGATGGTTGTGAACCCAACCATGAGGATGTAAGGAACACAACCTTAGTCCTCTTCAAGAGCAACCTTTGTCCTCTTAACCACTGAGCCATCCATCTAGCCAACACTCTATTATAGCTTTGACTGAATCTTTAAAGTTTGGAATTATGTAAAATGGAAATTACGCCATACATAAGAGGCAAACATTTTGGAGATTAAAAATTTTACTTAATTAGATACCACAATGTATTCATAATCCAATTTAGACTACATAATTCTTGGGTCATTTTCCACAGTGTTGAAAATGCCCCATCAAGGCCTGAGAACATAACTCAGTGGTAAACTGTGTGTTTAGCATGTTGGAGGCTTTAAATCAGATCCCTAATATCTCCAAATATAGATAAAAGAATTTCATCAAGATCATCAAACAGACGTTTAATTGAAATGTGTCATATACTTGATATTTCCAATTAGCTTAAGTTTATAATTTAAAGAGTCTCTTTAATATTAAAGTGGTACTAGTGAACTGTATCTTTTCACTATTTTATCCAAACATCATTTTCTTGCCCCTGCATCCATTCTTTTCCATGTAGAATGAATGAAAACTCTGGATGCTCTTAAGATGTGACATATGGAGTGCCAAATAAAAAGAAATAAACCTACGAATACATGATTTGAACAAAAATGTAATGAAATGCTTTTTGTCCAGTTGCCCAGAATTCTTATGAAGTAACCATCAATCAATACTTGTTCCAAATGCAAATTTCCTCAAGACGTTATGATTAGCCAGTTTGTATGAATGAGTGACATCTCTCAGAGAGATTCAGAGCCCAGTGGAGATTTCCTGAAGAACTGGGAATGCAGGTAGAAAAATTAGATTTGTCGAGTTACTTACTTTGTCTCTGGAAAAGCTAAAAAGCTGTTTCCTCTCAGCAAAGAACTGAACGGCTATGACACTAGCTGAGTGACCCCAGAGCACACCAACTGGCTTAGAGAGGACATAAGGATTCCATAGGCAAACTTTGTTGTCAATGCCGGCCGTTGCTAATCAGAATTAAAAAAAAAATAAAATGTTTTTAATTATCTCTTTGAAATTAGTTTGTCACATGTGAACATTAATGCACCCTGTCTTGAAGGAAGAAAAATCTTGTCATTATCCAACTAAATTGTGGGTTGATCTTGAGCAGTGGTTCTCAACTCGCCTAATGCTGCGACTCTTTAACATAGTTCCTCATACTATGGGGACCCCCAACCAGAAAACTTTTTCTTTGCTACTTTATAACTTTAATTTTGCTGCTATTATTAATCATAATGTACATATCTGATATGCAGGATATCATGACCCACAGGTTGAGAATCATTGACCTTGAGGCAGGCATTTGCATAGGCTAAAGAAGCAGAAAAGATTGTCTCATTTAGAAATCTACCCACAGCCTGCCTTGGAGAGAATTCATTTTCTCTTCCAAGCCCTAAAATTCCCTATTTCTGGGACACAAGAAATTTAGACAGCATGACAGGTATTGGGGACAAAAAAAGAACTAAATATTCACAAGTCAATAAGTGAAAGTACTAGGAACATGTTATTTTTACCACTGTTTAAATAATCAAGTATGCACAAGCCACCAAGCATCACCAATACTTCCATTCTGGTTTATTGTGGGATCAGGCATTTTTGATCATGGCTCCTTTATATTCAAGAACCATCTCAAGAGCAAGCTAGGTACTATGTGAGCATGTGGGATGCGATTTAACTCTCTGGTTGTTTCTTGGTCTTGAGCTGATTATGCACCTGCACTTATGTTTCCCAGCACTGCTACAAGTACCAAACAGATCAGTGTAGAGAAACTGAATAACTAGTCAGCCAGTGAGTTAAAGAGGTGATATTTGGGTCCTTGCCAAATTAATTCATTAACCTCTCCAGCCTTCTCTGGTGCATCTAGTGTATTCGTGGAAGTCATTGCTTTTCAGCAGGCCTACCTTAAGATACTTTATATCAGCTATTATTATTGGTTATTTTAAGTGTCTGTTTCCTTAACGAACTCCAGCATTTTTCCTGTGAATGCTAACTACTGGATGTGGATTTGTATGACCCACACCATAGGCCATATGTGGTCTGTATAACTACTCTATTAATTTTCAATAACAGATCTACATGTCAGTTTTATAATGCTTGAACTTACCTATGCATATATCAAATTATCAACTTTCAGAATATCTAGGTATTTCATTTAATAGATCAACACCTGGAAAAGTTTATATTTCCTATACCTTTTGCATCAACTTCCTTAATAAATTGAAGCTATGATAGCCTATAAATTCACAAAAATTATTAGAAACTGTAGTCTAAAAAATGTCTAGGATTTGCAGTTATACTGGTGTGTGCAGGTGTGTGTATGCTGGGTGTGTGCATGTGCGTGTGCTCACATGTGTGTGAGTAATGAAAGTGATGTATTTGTTTGGGGGCAGCATTTGACGGTGTGAGAAGGATTGCAGAATAGCAAATGCTGTACAAACTGTCTTCTTTCCCTATATCATCTTCCACCCCTTCCAATTCCAATAAAAAGACTCATTAAAGCATCGGGGTGCTTTCTCATATTTCACCCCAGTGTAATTCAAACGCACCGCACATCATATGCATCATTATCAAACATTCTCAGGCAATAAAATGTGAGCTGCTCAAGTTGGTCTCCCTGGCAATAAAGCAACAAGGTGCTGCACTTCCCTGCATACAAATATGCATCCTAGACAATTTATGAGGCCCTCATAGTTATCATGATTTATTTTACATACCAATTAAATTGAGCCGAGAGTGGTAATCAAAAGCATGAATGCCCTGGGCAATGTTGAAAGATGTCATTTTAAGGAGTTTTTTTGACTTCTCTCTCCAAGCCAGCACCACAGTATTGGTACTGCTGGTTGTACTGGAAATGAAAGCATCCAAAGAGGCATTGTAAGTAACTGGAAAAAAAAAAAAGAAAAGAATCTTGAAATTTTTATATTAGCAAAATAGAAATATTTAAATATATAATGTATTAAATATTATTTAATATATAGTAATACATAATAATTAATATCAGAGTGTGATGATACATCCCAGCACTCAGAACAGCTCACTCACCCATCCCCTCCAATCAATGAATTTATAGCAAGAGAAACCACAGCGTATTCTCCATTCTGGCCTTCCTCTACATTAGAAATACCTTAAGGCTTTGTTTGTTTGTTTTTATGGAATATAGAGTAGAAAACAACACTCATCACAAAAATCATGGAGTATTCTGTAGACAGAAAATGAGCAAGGGATCATTACTTTTTTACTCTTCCTCGCAGACCTGAGGCAGACAGACAAACAAGAACTAACAAGCACCTGCTTGCTATAGCTCATGGTTAAACAATTATTTATGCACATTTGACCAATCTAGAATATTGAAGAGTAGATGGGCCAGGACTCAGACCTGGTCTAATTCCCAAGTAAAGCTAAGATTCAGATCAAGATGGCTGACCCTGTGTAAGATGTTGTGGAGCAAAATCCTATTTCCTATGTAATAACGGCCCAGCCACACTGTGTATCATGATGGGCTTTGTTTTTTCATCAGAGTCACAAGCTCCCAAAGGCAAGTAACTGCTCCTTGACCAGCATATAACATGATACCTTCTACTCACACAGAGGTCCTTTATTGCTTTTTGCTCAGATTATAATTACCTGTATCCAAAATTGCAAGATTTCTGGCTTATAACCAAGATAAAATTACTGCATCACACAAAGGATTTTGTCACTTACATAGAGTAAAATTTGTTAAACAGAAGTGCTTTTATTAGTTTTTTTTTCTGCCTTTTCTGCCTGCTGCTTGCTAGGTAGAATCAAGTGAGGCAGACTAGGAAGACAATTCTCAGTGGACCAGGAACATTTCTGTACATCTAATGAAACTGAGCACTGGCTGCCCTTTACTCAAGATCATCTTTTCAAAGACATGCGCACTGCAAACAGCCTTAAAATGCAGAGATAGTGTCTCCCTTCGAAGGAAATGGCAGGCATGCCTGTTATCCAGAAGAACCAGAGTAGTTTTCTCGGGAGCAGAAGGAGATGCATGTCCTGTGCCCATATAAAAGGCTCACATTCTCTACACCTGGGTTTCTTCTCTAAAACATCCACGTGCAGGCACAAATGTGCCTTTTGTGGACCTGGAGCAAATGTGTCAAGACTTACTCTGCTTGCTTTCCTATGAATTACATATGTATTTAATTTTTTAATCTGTGACACAGGCGTGCATATCATCTGTCACTGTAAGAGTTGTCGTTCTGTTGGCTCAGTTCCAGCAGTGTACTACTGGTTATACTTGAGTCGATATACTTACTCTATAGCTAAACTGAAAGGAACTTAAGAGCCAGCGAGACAGCTAAATCCAGGTCAAGGTGCTTGATTCTACTTCTGATGACCTGAACCCAATACCCAGAACCCACATGATGCCACATTCATGCCACAGTGCACTCACAGACCATGCATATTCACTCACAGAGTCAGTCACACACAAAGAAATGAATATAAAAATAATTGTTTTCAAATATATGAAAACTCAGTCTTCAAAACCCTCAGCAGGTACTGCTATGGTTACGTATGTGTAGCCTCTCAAATTGATACATTGAATCCTGCCTTTCAAGGTAATAATAGGAAGGGTTCACCTTGGGTGGTGATTAGAGAATTATAACCTTGGAACTGGGATTCATGTCCTCATATAAGAGATATAAGGGAGTTTGTTTGTTCCTTTTATTCGGAGAGGACACAGAGAGAAGATAGCATCTATAATTCAAGAAGTGCCATTCTCCAGACACCATGTCTACCAACAGCATAATCTCAGAACTATAAAAATAAATATCTATTATTTATAAGATATTCAGAATATGGGCTTATATAAATGCATATAAACAAATTTCCAAATGATTACTAAAGGCAAGGAATCTGAACCATAGCTAGTACAGTCCTTTCTATCTAACCTCTTCTATTGAGTTAATTATTTCTGAAAGCAGCTAGAATTTATTCATTCAGGAGCTGATATTGACATGAGAATGGCTTGATTTAATATATTTCATATCTGTCTTCCTAGCAAATAAATATCTCACATGACCAATTTATATTTAATGAGATTGAAACTATTTAGAGTGCCATCTACAGATATCCCTTCCCAAAGGATGTCATCTAGTCTTCAGAATTACTTGCTATTTGCTAACACCTGTGGTGTGATGAAGAGACTGAAGAACTAGATTCACTCTGTACCTTATACATGTGTTTCTGAGCTTAGGAAAAGGGACATGTAAATCAAATAACTAGACAATACCTTATCCCATAGTAAATTGCTACATTGAATAGTACATGGGTGAGTAAAAAGAAAGACATCATGTATGAGTCAGTGTTTTGAAGACATTTCACAATCTATTGATGACAGAATTTTATTGATGAGGGGACAAATCGCCTCACTTGTATTAAAGGAGCAAAATTTAAATGAGGAACTTCTTATGTGCATCAACTGTTATGTATGCTTAGCAAAAGAACATTTAAGTATCACCTATGGGTAGGGCTCATCATTTAACTGTACCTACTGCTCTTGCAGAGAACTTGAGATTAGTTCCTTTCATCCAAGTCTAATGGCTCACCAAGACTCCATATCCATGGGATATGACACGCTCTTCTCATCTACTTGGGCAACTGTACCCATGTGCACATACCTACTCCAGATACACAAACTTACATATATTTATTTTTTAATTTAAAAATTAAGAATCCCCCAAGGGAAACTGCATGACATTGCATACTTGTGATGCCATTTCTGAGATGGGAGAATGGAAAAATATGAATTCCAAAATTTTGAGCCCACAGAAATTCAACCTATCTTCTAATTTTACAAATGAAGAAAAATGAAAAAGAAAAACCACCAAAACAAGTTTAATTATAAGGCTAAAGACAGAAAATGACAAATTTGGGTCTGGAGTTCTGGTATTAATCCTCTAATCAGAGTACCAGTGTATAACATGGACTATTACAGATCCAGGCTCAATGCTAGACTCTGGCAGAGCCAGAATACAACCTGTCTACAGAGCCAGACTCCTTGACAATGGGGACATCTCATGTTGTAGCATGCAAAGGAGTCACTGGGAGATTAGAGTGAAAATGCAGATTCTCACTGTGCAAGCCTAAGATTGGGCATCACTCACATAGTACTTGATGCTGCTGCTTTATACTCACTAAGGACCACACTTAAAATAACAAGATGCTGGAAAGAATTCTGTATAGACATTACTTCATACTCTAAAGGAATTCTGTATAGACATTACTTCATACTCTAAAAGACCAATCAACAGCTCTTAAATTTCAGAGAGCAAATATTTAGTTAAAATCTCATGAAAACCATAGTTCCATCAGAAAGGTGTATAAGATACCAGAGTTTTAAGAACCTCCCCACCATGATTCATGCATGAGAGAGCTGAGAAACTCAGGCAATGAACCTCTGAGGACAAGGTAATGTTGGAATAGAAAAAAAAATTCCACACCTGCTTTTTTATGTGGCTCTTCATTTTTGATTTTCGGAAAAGGGTTTTGATAGGTACCTCAGGTTGTCCTGGAACTCACTATATGGCTCAGTCTAGACTCTAACACACCACACTAGCATCTGAGACTCCCACGAGCTGAGATTACAAGTGTGTACTATCATACCTGACATCCCTCGGGTGATTCATAACGTTTATTTTACTAATTAGTTTTATCTATTAAAGCACAAAATAGATACTGCATTTTAGCTTTTACTTATTTAATGCAAATAAATTTAATCAGATTTTGATGTTGAACTGAACACAATTTCTCCAAGACAAAGAGAAGCCAAGATGCAGAAGAGAATTTTAGAAAGGGAAGCACCCTCTGGTACATAGAATAACTAGATATGAAATGTCATGACACAGAAGTGATCCTACTGAAAAAGAGGGTCCATGTTCCCAGTCTGTTTCTAACTCATCCTCTATTATTAATTTTCCTTGCCTTATGGATTATTTTTATAATGATGAAGGTAATTTGCTGAACCCTTCTCATGTACCAGACAGCATGCCTGGAGCTCTTGGTCTATCATAATCTTCATTGTGTAAGTTATTTGAAGTTTGCTAATGAGGAAATAGACATTCCAAAACTCAATTTGCTCCAGGTCATGTGGCAAATTACAAATGGAGAAGAGAGTGAACTGACTGTGAGTTCTCCTTTTCTCCTCTATTGTATTCTTCCTTTGCATTCAGCCACACTGCCACCATATGCCGGGACCACATCTCAGATGATTTTTACTATAGGCTACATTTCTGTTCCCTGTGGCCTCACTCTCAAACAAATCCCCACTTGAACTTCAGTCTTCCCTTTCCTGACTCCTTCATGTTACTACTGAGTCCCCACAAGAACCATCGTCCTTTATCTTCCTGAATATCTCCATCCTTTTCTGTCATCCACTGTATTTCTTTCTTGTGAAAGAAAAAAAAAAGAGATACTGATGGAGAGAAGTGGGAAGGTAGAGAGGGAGGGAGGAAGAGAGAGAGGGAGGCCTAAAGGAATAAGCAGTTCATGTAAAGGTGAATGCTTTGAGCTTCGTTAGAGAATAGTTAATTTCAAGGGCATTTCACCTGCTGCATGATGGTAATTTTTCTAGATATATCAGAAGAACAAATTCTGCAGGTGTGAAGTACCATTCAAGGACTCACTTGATATATTCCTTTTGTTTATGGTAAATGTTTAAGATTATTATAGCATGGCACTTAAAATCAATATTGTAAGATCCAAAAATACAAACCATTGCGCTATAACCATATCATCAAGTCCTCAGAAATTCCATAATGTGATTATAATAAAGTTTCCTATCCAGAAAATTACTTTGTCACATGTTCCCCAGTACACCCAGTTGTTTTGGGGGGCATGTAAGGCACACAACTTCATCCTG